TGGGGATGTTGATTATACATAATTGTCTACTTAACATTTAGTTAAAAACTCTTTAATAAACTGCTAAATGAAATCAGTCAAAAAAGGTTGGTATCGACCCTTTAGAATCTAAAGTTTAGATGACAATAAACAATGCAACCCCAAATCTAATTTCAGCACCTGCAATGCAGGCAAATTAAGCCTAATAGAGCGTTTCTAATAGACTGTAGACAACTGAACTTGGTTAGACACACCGAGGGAAATCGTGATATACTTCGAAAAAAATTACAGTTGCGAGTAATATATGTGAAATAATAAAATTTAAAATGGATTTTAGTCCATAAACAAAAAATTTAGTAATAATGTTAAGTAAATTTGATCTACAATGCTGTCTTATCAAAAATATTTGAACTTATTCTTCTCATAATTTATTGTAATTTCAACAAATCGTAACTGTCTGCAACAAAATATAATATTTTATGAAGCATACAAAATTTCGCTTTAAAAATTAGATCCCACTTTTACTACTGTTGCATTTATTACTTTTTGTCATTCTTTATTTTTGTAGAGGAGTTGCAAGAAAATTGTAAATGAGAAAATCATAAACTTTTATGTGTGTACTTTCAATTACTACATAAATGCATTTCTCTTGAAGTAAAATGTGACTACAAACGCCTTCTTTTTGTTTAAAGATGCCTTGCTTTGCCTTGTTTTGCAAAGTCGATTGAAATCATAAAAATGCATAGTTGGTATTTATTGCATGCTTAGAATTTTTTTTATTTATCTAATAAATATGTTGCAATGTGAAATTAAAAGTTTCACTTGTACTCGTACATTTTTTCGTATAGTTTATTTTTTAGTAATGTATATACTTATAGTATTTTTACGGCTCTGCTTAATAGAATTATTTCGTGTTGACTTTTTTGTTAAAGCCTTCTGGACGAATCCAAATCAAGGCATTATAATATGTGATATGTAAATGTAGAAAGAGCAGGGATCGATCTGACCCAGTTTGTTTTAGCCAAACAAAACATGTCAAGTGTTCGTCTAAAGAGTGTAGGCATTTGCACGGTCTTTTCCCGAATAAATTTACTGTATAAATTCTCTTTTATCTCAGCAACTAACCAATAAGTACTTGATGTAAAAAGTTTAAAGCTAGTCACCGTGTGAGTTTCATCCTTTATCGATGCAAAAGCTCTTGAAGCTCTGACAAAAACAACATCTTCCCTAGAGAGCCGTCAGGAAGGCTTGAGAAAAGGCCATGGTTCGACCTCGAGGGTTTCCAAGTGCCACCCGGGGAGATTCGAAGCTTTTGGGAATAGGAGGACACCGAATACATATCTCGTCTACCTAAAAAATTCATCGAGTAATAATGGGGAAATATTTATTCGAATGTTGGTGCTGCTCGTTATAAGGATGGAGTCCTCAAGAAGTTTTTCTTGCCTTACTTCAGACGAGGATTATGGCCATGTTTCTGAGACAGTAGTATGACAGGAAAAGTGACGGGCACCGAAGCTGCTTTTTAAGTGTTAGTAGAATCTCATGTCTCGATCATGCAAGAGAAATGTCGCCCTTCAGTTGTTAAGACACTGGGAAATGTCGAACTCGCTGTTTTGAAGACAGGCAAAATTTTCTACCTACATACTCGTATGTACTCGTACATGGATCTAACGAAGATCATTATCAGTTGCATAACGTTTGCAGACAAAATTATTAATATCTCTCGTACTATAAGGTAGTTTAAGACATAGTGCAGCGTTAGTGCGGTCAAATTAATCATAAAAATAGTGGTCAAATAACGAAACCTCCGACAGAGCTAAATTTTGGTGGGGACCTTGGGTACACCATTAAAAATAAAATGTCAAAACTCCCCATCGATCCCATGTGTGCTAAAAAAGTTATTCGGGGTCAAAGGTCAAAATTGGACGTTTTTTAGCTTTTTTTCGAAAACGGTAAGTTTTATCAAAAAAGTAGCCCAGACAAAAATTATAGATCTTAAAATTATGTACAAAAATGGTCTTTATATTTTTTTTCTAAGAATCACCATTCCTGAGATATCGATATTCTAAAAGTTGAAGGAATAACGTTCTACATCATATGCACAAATAGAGTGCGCCAGAACTCGCGCCCCAAAGACAAATGCCATGTAGGGTAAGGTACCAGAAACATAGAAAAAATTATAAAAAAAATCTATCTATAAAAATTTCAAAGTTATGAGAGTTTAAATTTTGCACTTTGACTCATTTATTTCTGTTGGAAAAATAATTTTCCAAGTTTTTTTGCTGCAGGCTATTAGAATCGGAAACAAGGAAGCTGTATCCTAAACTGTAACTCTGTTTAATGTTATTTGTGGTTTTTACTGACAAAATTTTTGTACCTTTATCAAATAATTATGAAAAAACATATACATGGTCATCAGTATTATTAAATAGACATGACATAAAAAATGTCAAAAAATAAATGTCAAAAGAGAGATAGAATTTCGAAATTTTTATAGATAGAATTTTTTTTTAATTTTTTCCATGTTCCCGGTACCTTACCCTACATAGCATTTTTCTTTGGGGCGCGAGTTCTGGCGCACTCTGTATGTGCATATCATGTAGAACGTGACACCTTCAACTTTTAGCATCGCGATATCTCAGGAATGGTGATTCTTAGAAAAAAAAGTAGAAGGACCATTTTTGTAGATAATTTTAAGATCTATAGTTTTTGTCTGGGCTACTTTTTTGATATAACTTACCGTTTTCGAAAAAAATCTAAACTATAGACTAAAAAAAAATTGCACTTAGCAGTTTTTTTAATGCATATGTGTTCTTAAAAAATATATCTATCTACTCTTTGTAAAAAACGTCAAATTTTGACCTTTGATCCCGAATAACTTTTTTAGCACACATGGGATCGATGGGGATGTTGACACTTTATTCCTAATGGTGTACCAAAGATCTCCACCAAAATTTAGCTCTGTCGGAATTTTAGTTATTTGAAATGCCTATTTTGACCGGACTACGTTGTCTATGTATCTTTAAATATTTATTGAAACAATGTGGTAATAGTATGTTTTTTTTCAAAAAAAAATTGTCAGAAAAATTGAGCAATAATTTTCGATTTGTGTTAGTTAAATGTACACTAGTGACCTTTCTAGTATTATTTGTACATATGTAAAACAAGCATAACATATCATAAAATATCAACATTTTTATAATTACATATACAAGGTCGCTAAATAGTATGGATACAATTAAATATTATAAAAACTATTCATCAAAATTTATTGAAATTTGGGTTATTTATTTGTATATTCCACCACCTCAGATGTTTATCAAACTTTTATTTTATTTGTTCTGGTGATACAAGGCAAACTTGATTTTTTTAAATGGCAAAAAGGGTCAAATTTAATATTTCTAAGAAGAGCACTTTTTCTTGAGTTCTGTGCATACCTTATTTTAATCAAAACTTTAAAACAATTATCGAGCTAATTGAATTTTAAAAAATGTATTATTTTTGTCTTGGACATATCATTACCTATCGTTAGCTTTTTGCCGCCTGAACATTGAACAAAAAATAAGTAAACTGTTTCCCAAATGTCAACGTGCTCTGCTAAACCGTTCTGAAAATATTTAGCTGTATCCATACTTTTTAGCGACCCTGTAGAAGTATATCAAAATAAAAAAAATGACTAATAGAAATTACTGGTGTTTCTTGTTCTATTTCTTGTTCGCATCTTACATATTGAGCATATAAATATGTGTATTCTCTTGAATACATTTTTGTGACTCTACATATCGACATATTATTTAGTTTACAATTTACTTTAAAGTATTAATTGCTCCGTTAGCTTCATTTCGTTTTGCTTCAAGTCACAATATTGTTATAATTATCACGTTCATGACATTATGTTGCCTATAGCAACATCTCAGTGCCGAAACACATTTAGATTTGGAATTAGTTTGAATCTGCAATTAAACATCCTGATCTAGATAGTCTTGGTTTTTTTATATTGTTTTGTAATACTAAATCCTAGTAGATATCTTTAATTCTTTATAAAACAGAAACACTTTGGTTAGAAGACGAATTAAAAATTAATTCGTTGCTAAAAGTTAATGCGCGAATGAATTTGAGCATTTGGTTGGTTCAATTTCGACACGTAATCAGTTAATCTGATGTGTGATTACAATTAACTTAATGTCACTTCTATATCTATCTTAGTTCTTATATTAATTTTGTTAAGTTAAATAAAATTTTAAATAAAATATTTGGCTCTCTACATTTTAATAATTACAGGTGTATTATTGCCTTGTCATTTACAAATGCACTTAGAGGTAAATATTTTTTTTAATTACGTAAACCATGAACATCAATGAAATCAATTGAGCAAAGTTCGCCTATTCGCAGTATGTATTTTGAACTCATTGAATTTGTTTGTTGATTGGCATTCTAATTTATCGATTCAACAACATAAATAAGTGAAATGGCAGTATCGAATTTGCGCTATGATAAATGACATAATATGGCTATTAGCGTGTATATGTTATAAGAGTTTTTATTAGCAGAATATAGAATATGATAAAAATAATTCGTTTTGCAGAAAACTCACTTCCGACCTTGGGTAATTTATCACTCGTGTGCTTATTAAAAGTCATAAATCTAGAGAAAAGTTTTACCGGTCCTAAAAATGTCCTTTAATCAATTGCATCGACAAAAAGTCCAAATTGGTTAATATCCTGCGAATAATCACAATTCTAACTCTTACAAACTAGGGAAAAACGCAATCAACCCTTAAACTCGTACAATTATCGCAGTAATGAGCGGACGAAGTCGCCCTCTCTGCGCCAGCGCGACTTTTGCCGGGTTTCCCTGGATAAATCCAGCTCCAGTTTACCGTTGTCGAAGTAGCGAATTGGTGATATTCACCAGTTTTTCCGCACTCACCACGAGTTTTCCGACCACATGATAGCACAAAACTTGTGTCAAATTGCTGCTTGTTTGATTAACTTTGCCACATCCAGGACATTGCATAGGCTCTTAAACTTTACACCAAAGTGAAAAACAGTAAAAAACAATTTTTGTCAATTTAAGCTGTCTGTGAAATAAATATATCGTTGTGCTTGGACTGTTTCAACAAATTATTTTGTCGTGTTTTTGGATTATTGCAAGGTAAATTTATGGCGTTACGTGCATGCTGAGGCTTATTTTCTTTCCTTTCTCTTCTTATTTTTCCGCATCGTGTCTCGAGCAAATCTTCTGCTTTTACGGTGTAATAAGCCAATATATGATTTCTCGCTCATACGCACCATCAACGATTTTTTCCAAATAGTAAAACATATTCACCCGTAACTAAACGGCGAACCAATTTAGTAGAGTAAAAAATATAAATTTTTATAATACAATTTCATTCATGGCATTGCAATTAAATGTAATTCTCCGCGTAAATTTAATTTGTTTTATAAAACAGTGTTTCCGAGTTTTTCATATTGGCTGAAATTCCTAAACCCATCTATTATGAGGCAATTTTTGTGTGTTCGTAAATATTCCAAATAATTCTTCATCTAAATGTTTATATTTTGGCGTAAATAAAAAAGAGCATCAGAAAAGTAATTTAGTCTATGCACTAGGACCATAATAAGTTTATTTCAAATTATAAAACTTATCACCAAAAAAATAATTTAATTAATTTAACGTAATACAAGTATACAGTGAGCGGCAAAATTATGCAATAATCTTATTAAACCTGAAAATATTTTGTTGTGGCAAAAATGCACAATTTTTAACTTTGTTTAAGATTTCACATTTTTTGATTTTTGAGTATTGTCATCGACATTTTTGTAAATGAAAACCCTTAATTTTTTTAACCAATTTGATAGATCTTTTAATTGTCAAAATGACAACACTCAATATATTATATGTTACATAAAGTTTTCGAAGAAAAAGTACCAAAAAAGTGAAATAATATCAACAAAAAACCAAAATTCAATTTTAAATCAAGTTGAGAATTTTGTATTTTTTAAAAAGGAAATTGACCTGCTCTAGCAATTTTGTTAAAATAATTTTTTTTCAGTTTTAATAAATAAGATTATTCCATAATTTTGCCGCTCACTGTATAATCATTTATATAAATTGTTTAATTCTTTATGTCTAAAAACTAAAGGTAAATTGGGGGTTATTGATAGATAACAATGCATATTAAAGGAAATCAATAGTACTTATTTATTTGTTTCAAATACACAATCGCGTAATGAGTTTACAATGCCATTATTGATCTTAATACAATTTTAAATTATTATTAATTTTGTATTGAATTAATCAAACTTTTTGCACGTAGGAGGTCAGAAAAGTATCAACGTGGTTTAATTGCTTTTGTGACAAGATGTAACCTTTCAATTTCTAAACCTATTTAGAATCATTTGTCTTATAAATAGGTTTGCAATTTGCGCCTACCGTGTCGTATGTAAATTCGTGTGAGCTATGTAAAGGTGTATTCGTAGGCGGTCGACTTTTAAATGTTTAAATGTCAACTTAGATGTTATGTTAATAACTATATTATTGCTGAATACAGTGACACTTTCCTAAGTATTTAACTAAAAAAAATTGCACTTAGCAGTTTTTTTAATGCATATGTGTTGTTAAAAAATATATCTATCTACTCTTTGTAATTTTGCCGAGTACGTTTCCTAATTTACTAAAACGTGGTGACAGAAATATAAATGATCTAGAGGATGACTATTTTTCGCATTCGTACCCCTTGCGACTTAAATATAAGATGCGGAACGGTGAAAAAGCTTTTAGCAAGATTTATTGATAAATCGAAATAATTTAACAGACGACGGTGAGTAATAAAATTTCGTCTGATTTTAAGGCTGAATTCACACAAGGGTTAAAATTACGCAAGGCTCAAAGTATCTTAATCTTGTGGAAGATTTGGACTTAGAGAGAAATTTAATTTTCTTTATATAACATTATTTTAACAATTTTTGTTTCAATATTGGTATTACAAGTAGAAAGTAAGACATTTTTTTATCAAACGGTTTTAAAGTGAGTGTAAAACTGCTTGAATTGACGCAAAAAAACCTAATTTTATTTGCGTAAAGTTTTACCACATAAATCAAAATAGCTGACCTGTTGTTGAAAATTTTTAAGGATTAAATAAGTTAAGTACATATGGTGACGTATGTTACTGATATTTTTGTTTAATTCAGTGCAGTTGAATATTTAAAAAAAGAAAATAACTTCACAATATTTTAAAGGGTTTATGTTTATTATTGGAAATAAAATTGAAGACAATGGTGGCAAACTGCAAAGTGTCAAACTTGTTGTTTTTATATGATATTTTTATATTATTTCCCGGCGCCTCCACCATATTGCAACCGATCTGCTCTCGGGATAAATGTTAAAACTAAAGCTAACAACAGATTAATTTAACAACACTAAAAAACACTTTAAAAACAAAAAAAGTGATTAAAATATTGTTATGTAGATAGTAGAGTTACACACAAACTCGTACATACAGGATATTTGATAAAACCGCAGAAAGTTAAAATAAATAATGGTACGTATATTATTAACAAATAAAAATTGTTTTTTTTCCTGTTTTTAAACAATAGAATTATTAGAAATAATTTTGAACTGGAGTATATTAGTTTAGTTTTTTGTTTATACTTGTACGAGTAGTATATTACGGACAACTAACATTTTTGACAGCACTTAAATATATTTCTTTTGAAAGCATTTAGTAACAAAGCTGGATTACAATACAAACTACAAGTTTTAACTGTTCCACGGCAGTTAATTACTAAATAAGTTACGTCAACCAGTTGGTGAGGAACACAACACTCATCAAATTTGTACAAATACTGTTGTTGCCATTTTTTTTATAATTAAGCTAGCGAGAATGTTGCAATCAAAATTCTGCAAATTAAAAAAAACCTTTAAATCGATTCTAGACCACAATGGTCTTGTAAAGCAGTAATTGACTTTGTCTTATCTGCGTCGCTTTGGAATTACAACGTGGGAGTGAAAACGCAGCTATAGTACGTGCGTTGTAATTTTCAAGAGGCAAGCCGCGGCAATTCCGGTGGTAATTTGTCGAGGTGTGCGAATAGGAACTTTGCTCGTAACATTCTGAGTTGTTCTAGATTATTTTGCATCGATCGGTAGGCTGGTAGGTACGGACCAAGTAACTTAGACACATTTTTTCATTTGGGGTGGAAATTACTTCCAATTCCAGGCTTGAAACAGGCGTAACTTTCTTACAGAAATACTCGATTTCTACTACAGGAAACTCTTACGGAAAAGATTAATAAAAACTTTGCGCATTATTATTAACTTTGAATGAAGTGATTTTTCCTGAACCCACTACGTAGGATTGGATTGTGGGATGTCCTAATTCTAAGTTTTCCTTTCGAGGTTTTACAGTGCAATGGATTTAAGGGCGCTTAATGCTTAAATTTAATTTTGTAAAGCCTTACAAAAATGTTATCACCTGCTTCGGAGGTTTTACATTTTTTTTTTTAAAAAGGTGTTTATTTTTTTCTCTGTATTTGAGATGACTAACATAATATCTTATAGGTACATAATAAAATTAGGATACAAATAGTGTTTTAGGTCGTAATTGGAAATCAATACGGAATTTAATTACGGAACAAAAGTAATAGTACCATTCGTTTTTGTCAGATTATTCTGAACTTCCACTTTCGTTAATTCTTTGCGAAGTATAAACCACTAAGTTTCTGTAAGTGGCTAGTACGATTTCCTGTGAAGTGGTTAAACATTCAATTACCCTTAAATTACATAAATTCGGGTCGTAAGTGTCGAAGCCCAGTTTACTTTATGTGAGTAGCGTGCACAAACTTATCCTGTACTGGTTCTCAACCATTATCTACCAATTGTGGTTCTTGCATGTGCCTTAAATATTAACAAAAGTATTGGGATCATTATTTGAAGTGAAACAAACTTCAATGTTTGAAAAAGTAAGTCATTTAATAAATAGTTTTAGAAGAATTTTTAAACCCATTTGCATAATACATACATTAGGTTTTACACTTGTTTTGTTCAAAGCCAAAATGTGTATGTACAATATTTATCTTGTCAGTTGTTTACATTTTTATGAAAATTTGCTATGAGACAGTCATTTTGAAAGCGTATGTTCCCGAAACAGGTAATGATAACATCACCTCACCCTTATGTTTACCATAATTGAATCATAAACATGACGTATCACCTGAATCAATAATTCAAAAATTTCTAGGAAATGCCAGCTGTTGTACATAAAATCCATATTTTAAATTTGTAATTCAAGCATGCATATCAGTCTATCATAATATCGATTATGTTAAACAGACTACGTGCTTTTGGGAATTGTTGCTTACCAAAGAATTGATTTTATATCATTCAAGTGCCTGTACAGATTGATTATTATTTCATCAAAGTCACTTGACAGTTATTGATGTATGGGTATATCATCTGTAATAACTTTTATTCAATCATTCAAAACGGACGGGGAGAGATGAATGTTCATGAATTCAAGAAGCAGCATTTAATTTAAAAAAAAATACAGCGCATCAAATATATCCGAAGACCCTAAAATATTATAATTGTAATTTTTTTTTACAAAACATTTTTAATCTCTTCTATAGTAGCAGTTGATAACTCCTAATTTTTATAGTTGTTTTACTCTAAAAAGTTAACTGCCACAACCCCATTTTTTGTGTTTCCAGAGATAAAGTAATACGCATTCTCAGAGTGCTGAATATTGTGGTAAAGCGCCAACATTTCTTCATCTTCATTTGCGTTTAAATTGAAGAGCAGGATTTTCACAAAGCCATACGCATTGCGAACTGTTGACTGTTTCCTTATTTTATGAGGAAAATGGGTGAAATTCGTTTTTCGAGCTACCACACAAAACTACAACATCTGTTTTTTGAACCAGATATACTTTGGAAAATGTATAGTTTTAACACTTTTTATTTATACATTTATAACAATTGGTTGGATAATTTTAATTAAATCACAACAGCTCTTTTAGGTCATTCTAATTAAGGATTCATACACGCTATCAATATCGTCCTCGGTCCTCACGCAACTAACATTCTACTACCTATTCAAAATATAAATGTCTTTAAATAAAAAAATTTAATGCATATATTTTTTTTCGAATTTGT